GCCAAATAAGTCAGAGGCCCTGAAACAGAGGATACGGTCGTGGTTCCTAAACCTGGCTGCACATTGGAATCACCTGGGAAGTTTCAAAAACTCCTGATGCCTATGTCGCACCCATCCCTGGAGACCGTGGTGTAATTGGCCCGGGCTTTGGAAATTCGAAAGGATTCCCAAGTGATTCTAATATTCAGACAAGTTTGGGAACCAGCGGGTTCAGAGCATGGGCTTCTGCTTCCATGGAGTTCTGCCTTCAGGCTGCCCCGGTGGACGCCTGACTCCACCACCTCCCGCCACCCCGGGCCGGTCATTTCACCTTTCTGTGCCTCGGGTGCACCAACGGTGAGTGCACGTGGAGACACAGGACACCGGTCTCAAGGGCCGATGTCAAGACGCAACGAGACAATCCAGGTAAAGCACACGGAACAGGGCGTGCAGTAAGCGCTCCAGAAAAGCTAGCAGTCAGCGTTGCCGTTCGTTGCTACGACGATAAAGAGGAGGAGGAGGAGGAAAGAGAGGAGACCCAAGAGCTGGGTCTTTGTTGTCCGAAGAGTTAAGAGTCTCCAAGACCGAACGGGCAGCAGCTTAGGAAGAAGAGGCTCCAGAGCCACCTGCACTTGGTAGGAGGCCTGCCCCTCCCCCACCCGCCTCTGTCCACGCCGTTCCTCCCATCTTCCACATCCTCGCCCTCCTCATCTTTGTAAGCCCCATCATTCAGGGCCCAGCTGTAACCACCCCAGGGCTCCCTCCCTTCTCTAGTCTCCAATAATACTTTCCTCTCCATGCCTATTATTTCATTCATGCATTCATTTTTAGAGACAGAGTCTCATTCTGTCACCCAGGCTGGAGTGCAGTGGCACAGTCACGGCTCACTCACTGCAGCCTTGAATTCCTGGGCTCTCACAATCCTCCCATCTCAGCCTCAAGCAGTTAGAACTACAGGTGTGTGCCACCACACCCAGATAACTTTCTTCTTATAAGATATTTTCAGAGACGGGGTCTTGCTATGTTGCCCAGGCTGGTCTCAAACTCCTAGCCTCAAGTGATCCTCCCACCTCTGCCTCCCAGGGTGCTGGGATTACTGGCATGAATCACTGCACCTGGCTAATGCCTATTATTTCAGAAGTTTATGATTTGCTCCCCTGAACAAATAAGTATCTGCCTGTGGGGTGAATGACTACTTTGGTACATACTAGTCTTGTCACCTCAAAGAGACAATAAGCCACTTGGGGGAGGGCCCAATTCCCATGCTTCCGAGTGTTCCCCATGACACCCAGCACGCACCATGCCGGGCACACAACTTTGGATTAACAAATATTTGTGGACCGAGAGTAGATGTTGAGCCAGCAGCACTAACTACACATCAGGAAGGATCTAGGCTCAGTGCCCAAGGGAAGCAGGCCCAGCGCCCAAGGCCCATGGGATTCTGGGCTCCCCAACCCATCATGACAAGGACACGCCACCACAAGACCCTGCCCACCTGTCCCAGGGCCTGCGGCTGTCACAAAGCCACCGGCCTTCCGTGATTGCCCGAACCCCAAAACAGCCAGAAGCAGCCCAGCCCTACCCACATGGGCGTCCAGAGCAGCTGGCACCCAACAAGCTGTAAGCCTCTTACAGATTAAAGGTCCTAATTTAAACCTCTATTTGAGGGACGACAAGTGGGTCAGCACTCCACCGGCCGGTCAGTGCAGCCGGAGGAAGGACGGGCAACTCTCATGCGAGACAGGCTCCTTCCTCGGGGGGGAAGGCGGGGCCAGAGATCACGGATCTAAGTGGAATCACTGAGCGGGGAGCAGGTTCACACCGATCCACCAGGGATCTCCCCCCTGGATCATCTGAACTCTACCCTCCCTAGGCAATGAACCTGAGAAACAGGGAACCTTAGTAAGGGCAAAATAACAAGCCGGGATGGCCTTCCTCTCCCTGCCCTGGCCTTGGTATGTGGGGAAGGAGGAAATATCTGGCTGCAAAATAAAATAATTTTTTTTTTTTTTTACACGCAAGGAAACAGCTAATAAATCCAGGAACCAAGAGGAGAGGGAAGGGGCTGGGCAGGCTGCATTCTAGGGAATCGTACCCGAGGGAGGAGGCAGGGGAAGACGACCTTTGCTCCTAACCCCCGGGTGAGGTTTTCCTGGCCTTCCTCCCCAGCTTCTCTGCGGCAGGAAGCACTGGGCACGGGTGAGCAGCTGCAGGCAGGCCCAGGATCACGCTGTGAGAGCCTGACTCTGGCCGCTCTTTAAAAAAAAAAAAAGCTCTCTTGACACATGTCTCCATAGAGACGGCCTCTGGGAAGTAGCTAGAACCCACCGTCTACACGAAGAGCAGAGAAATCCTTCCAGCGTGACGTTTCTCAGATTTTCCCGACTGTGATCCGTGGTAAGAAATAAGTTTTACACGATGACCCAGAGCATACATATATGCATGCACTCTGCACACATGTTTATGTATCTCTCTCTCTCTCTCTCTCTCTCGATATGTATAATTGAAACAGTTTCATGAAATAGTACTCAATGCTTACTACATACCATGCAATCCAATATTTTCTATTCTATGCTTTTTATTTTTTTAACTTGCTGGTTGCAACCCACTAAATTGATCTCACCACCCATTACGCCGTCTGGACCTGCAGTTTGAACAGCACTCTGGACAAAATGAGAGTGGTTCTGCTCTTTGAAGGAACTTTTTAAAACTCGCTCACAGACTCACCTGGGCACAGAGAGAAATCCCGGTGGGCCCGTGAGTGGGGAACTTTGGCAGAGGGGAGGAAGTCTGGACCTCAAATGCCAAGTCCTGTCTCTGCAATAGGCATCAAGCAGTGGCTGCCCCCGAAGGTCCCCCGAGTCTGTCCCTGCTTCTCGTGGGGCTCAGAGTTCAGGACTTCTCCCCCACACAGCTAATCGTGCCTCTGGGGCTGGCCCAGCAACTAAAAAACCTGATGCTATTCACTGGGATTAAGCACTGCCTCACTGTTCCTCCACCCTGCCCCTCTGCTGAAGGAACGTACCTATGACACACAAAGGCAGAAATGTCAACACTGTGCTGCCCACATTGGCTTTTATTTCTCCCAACAGTTTATCTGCATATCAGATACCCTACAAAACCCCAGAGGACAGGAGGTTTGTTTTTATTGTTTTAACCGATGGTACAGAGATGCTTTTTGTAGGATTTTTTTTTTTTTTTGACAACAGGAACAAAGCCAATCCAATTTTAAACTATCCTCAGCCCGGCCTTTCTGCTCTTCCAAGAAGTCCGTGAAATCACTACTGCCACCTCCTCCAGAAAGCCCTCCCTGATGGGTCAGGCCTGCTAAGGAATTCTCTATACCCTAGAGCATGGTAATATGAAACTCTAATGACTCCTTTCCACCTTCACTGTTCCCACAAATGCCACACCCTGCTTCCCTGTACCTGTCATTACTGTTGGGGTGGGTACCTGAGTTGGAAACCATGCCACAGAGAAAAGGTAGCATAAGCATTCAATATTCTGAATGTTTAAGTTTTAAAGGTTAATGTTTTTGTATTTATTCCCAGGTAAGGTTTTTTTGTCCGTGCTAAGCGGAGCAAAATTCCACTCGTGTCAGCGTGCCGACACTCCACGCCTCTGCACGTATGGAAGCCTACTGTGCCTGCTACAGACCAGCACCCCCAAATCCAGAATGCCTCTGCAGGACACGTGGTCGATCCCCAAGGATTCTGGAGGGGAATAACGTGTTTGATCACTGTCTTAAGAGCTCAATCAGCATTTGATGGCTCACCCAGCATACAGCAGGGTTTCATAACTTGGGATCTGTGAATCCTCTGATGGAGAATGTCAAATCATGAGCTATTATCATTTGTTTTTTCCCGGAGAGAGGGACAAACTACAGTGAACAGACACAAAAAGAAGTCAAGAGCCACAGAGGCCAAATTCTTAGAAAGCTGGTGGAGACCCTCCCAAGACTGCCTCTACTTGTCCAATGAACAGCCCCTCCTCTACCATGTACACTCTCTTCAATGACCCAACCGCTTCTGCCAACAAGCCATCTCCGCCTTCATCCTAGTGCCTTGGCACTGCACTCCCAGGTGAGGTCCCACTCATCCTTGAACACCCACTCACTAACAAACACCAGATTTAGGTGACACTGAGCACCTGTCAGGGACCATGCTAGGCTCTGAGCATACAGCCACGAACACGACAGAAGAGATAGCCTTTGTGTTCCAAGAGATGCCCCCAAATCCCAACCTGCCTTCTGGCTAATCCAGCTCTTTCCTATACTTCATTTGTGTCCCTCTTATGCATCATCATGTACTTCTCAGGTAAAGATGTCTGTCTCCCTCCTCTCCCAGCCCCACCCTATTCCATCCACAAAGAGAAACAGACACGAAATCTCTCACACAGGACGCCCCATACCAATGTGCATCGATCAACGGATGCTGAAGGGGTCACCAGTGGTCCAAGTAGCAAAGACCAGCACACTGGGGACAAGCCCGCTCAGCGAGGCAGGGAACAAGGGAGATGGTCTCCGCTGCAGCAAAAAGCCCACGCGGATCTCTGTTCCCCAGCCACAGCCTGCAGGTCTCATTCTAGCTGCTCATATTTCAAATTGAGCTTTGGGTCCTGGTCACGGCAGTTGGAAAAACAATTCCAACTGTGGGTATCCAGCTGACCTACCTCCTGGACCATCAGGGTGGAGGAGAAGTGTGCTTCTTAGATGTCTGAACCAATACTTTTTGCATATGGTTAACTGACAGAACACAAAGCAATGCTTCAAAGATGTACCACCTCTCTCTTTAAGAAGAGAACCGGCTACTACAGCTACCATGGTCATCTCCTGCGGCAATCTCTGCCAGCTCACTTCCAGAGCACAACTATCCACTTCCAGAGCACAACTATCCACTTCCTAAATCACGGCATGGCAGTGACTACAGCAGCCACTGTATTTACCACGTGTCAGATGCAGAAGGATGCACAGCCAACAGCATCGAGACCACAAAGCTAGGCCGGGTGCGGTGGGCTCACACCTGTAATTCCAGCGCTTTGGGAGTCCGAAGTGGGAAGATCACGTGAAGCCAAGAGTCTGAGACCAGCCTGGGTGACACAGCGACACTCCATCTCTACAAAAAGCAAAAATAACAACAAAAAAAATCAGCCGAGTATGGTGATGTGAGCCTATAGTCCTAGCTCCTTGGGAGGCTGAAGCAAGAGGACTCCTTGAGCCCAGCAGTTCCACGTTATAGTGAACTATGATCAGGCCACTGCACTCCAGCCTGGGCAAATGAGCAAAAGACCCTGCCTCTAAAAAAACAACAACAACAACAACAACAACAAAAACCCTACAATGATGCTGTTTTCCCTAATGTCACAAAAGCTTTCACTGCTGCTAAAGAAATGGCTCTAGAAGCCACCAAAGAAATCTGACTACTGGACTTGGTTGTCCAAGAAATATAACCTTATGGCACCGAGGTCAGAGACTGGATCTATTCCCCAGCACTATTCACGCAACAAATATTGGTGAAACCCAGCACTGTTAGGTACTATGAGCAACAGAAAAGACAAGACTCAACGCTCGTTTTGATTAAAGGTTGGGTAGGGAGGCAAGATTAACATAATAGAAGAAACCATCAGAGCAATCTCTGATGTGGCATGTACAAGAAGATCCATTAGGATGAAGAAGAAGATATCAGGATGTCTACTTATTTTTGTTGAAAAATAATAAATTAAACTGTATTATTATTTAATACAGGAACTGGCACTAGCATACTCCTTCAACTCGTGTGCTGGCTGTTGCTGTTATCTAAGGTCCAGGAGGCATCTGTGTGTCTGAGTAGCAGATCCAAACACAGAGGGTGAATGGTGGCAGCCCCCAGTCTGTTAACTTAGTACAGTTTACATGTGCCTAGGTGAGCAAGTTTAAAGAGACCATCCTCAATACAGTAAGTGACAATACTTCGTGGTGAGACTTAAAAAATCATGTGACCCCACTGTCCCTCATTACCTCATGGTAAAGTACCTGAGCTGCACAGCTTTAAGAGGAATTACGCCTTTTTTTTCAGCCAGAAAACAAAAATTTCTCAATTTGCTGACCTCTTCTGTAATGAATGCCTGTAAGTAGAATGCTACTTAATGAATGTCTTTAAACAAATAAATATTTAATCTATCTCTTTTAATGCAAAGGTGTCATTTTTTAAATGGTTAAGAAAGCCTTTACTCTTTGAAAGCGTATTTTAAAAACAGGCACTCGGAAATCATGTCCACCGTTACGTGATGATGTTGCCGATTTCAGCGTAAGGAACGTCATCTCTCAAATCCCCTATCTGTGCACACGTTCCAATCAGAACATCCAAATGTGTTTTAAAATTGCCCCAAAATGAAGTGTTTCAGAGGTCTTTAATCCACTTATTAACGTATAAAAATATTAAAGTTTCCAATGAGTGAGCTTGCAAGAACCGACTGATATCAAGAAAGACTGAAGTGTGTTAGCAGGATTTCAACAAAAATGTTTGCAGAAAACTGGTGGATATGAATAAAAAACAAGTATCGAGATTTCTTAAGTATAATCCGGGATGCATTTCTGCCATGAGGATCTGCACGTCTTTGTGAGGTCTCTTTCAAAATATCCTGACTGGAAACACAACTTCAAATTGCAAGTGATATACCAAGATATTCTGCAACAATAAAGTCTGCTCCATTGCATTGTTCTTACTGGAAAAAAAAAATCATTCTTAATAATTCATTCCATTTAATTCTGCAATAAAATACCCATCTTTATATGCATCAGGTATACCATTCCACGCTCTGGAATACCGCAGGGAACAAAACAAACAAAAATCCCTGTTCTTGGGGCGCTCACATTCCAGTGGGGAGAAAGAAAATACACTAATAGAAATATATTGTACGTTAAATGGTGATGGTGGCCATGGAGAAAAAACACTGCATGAAAGGGATGTAGGAGAAGCTAAAGAATGTCAGGTGCAGGGGCAGTGCATCAAGAAGGCAACATCCAAGCACGGACCCAAGGAAGTAAGAGATTTCGCCACAAGGCTACCTGGGGAAAGCACTCCAATGGAGGGAACCAGGAGCAAAGGAAATGCTTAGTATGTCAGCGAACAGCAAGGAGGCCAGCGATGCTAGAACAAATGCAAGACAGGAAGAGCGGCAGGAGACAAGGACACAGAGAAAAGTGGGGCCCAGTCATGAGGACCTGCCTTGTGCAACATGGAAGGCACAAGCCGTGGGAGGCTGCTGAGCCCAGGAAATGCAGCTAGTCCAAATGAGGATGTGCTAAGAGCTTGACTTAGTAGAGAAAAAAGAAAACCAAAAACAATGAAACATATTTCAGAAATGGAAAATATTTTTAACATACACGGTTAAATATAAAATACATTATTAAAAATAACTTCAACGGTGTCATTTTCCTTTATCAAAAAATTTTAAATTATAACATATATGTGGCTGTCATGTGTGGCTCACATTATAGATTTCTATTGGACGGTGCTGATGTAAGCTGTAGGGCCCGAGGGACTACAGTGAGGCCTATGGCTTTGACTGAGAGAGGAGAAGCCACTGCAGGGTTCTGGGCACAGCAGGGCACGATGTGACTTGTGTTTCATGGGACCGTTCTGGCTGCTGGGAGGACTGCAAAGGGGCAGAGGAGAAGCAGGTGGGAGATGATGGTGGGTTAGACCACAGTGGTGGCAGTGGAAGTAGTTCTGATAGGTCGGATTCTGCATCTGTTTTATAGACAGAGTCAACAAGACTTGCTGATGGATCCGATGAAGGACATCTGAGAAAGAGAAAAAGCCCAGCATGACCACAGGTGTTTGGGATGAGCAACTGGAAGCACGGCGCTCCCATAACTGGGATGGGCCGACTGTAAGAAGAACATAATTGAGTAGGAAAACCAGGAGTTCAGTTTTGGACATGCTCAGTGAAACATCTACTAACATCAAAGGTGAAATATTAAACAGGCAGATGAACACACAGGTCTATAGTTCAGGAGGAAGTCTGGGCTGGGGACAAATAATTGGGGCTCATCAGCATAGAGATTTCTTTCACTTTTCATTATGGAAAATTGTAAACACAAATAAAACTAGAAAGAACAGCATAATTCACCCCCAGGTACCCATTCCTCGGCCTCAACAATTATCAGTTCATGGCCAATCTTGTCTATCTCCCAGGATTGCTTTGCAGCAAGTTCTAGACATCATTCGCATGGACGGTATTTAAAGCCGAGAGACGGGACAGGACCAGAGAGAGAAAAAGGAGATGGACAGGAGGTGACCCAGGGCCTTGAATCCTTAGAAATCAGGGAGATGAGAAGCTAAGAAGGAAGAGCCCATGCGGCCAGTGGAAAACCAGATATACACACCCCAGAAGCCAAGTGAAGACAGTGTCGAGGAAAAGGGTCTGACCAGCAACGTCAAGCGCTGCTAAGAGCTCCGAGGATGAAGGCTATGAAGTGACCACTAGACTCAGCATCATGGAAGTCACTGTGGACCTCGCTGACAGTGTTTGCATCTGCAGTGGTGTGACTCAAGGGAGGACATGAAGAGAATAAAGACTGAACCCTTCGCAGGGCAGAGAAATGGGGCAGCTGCTGGGAGAAGTGGGGTCAAAGAAGGCCTTTTTTTAAGATAAGAAAATTAGCAGCCTATGGAAATCACCCAGTAGAGGGGAAAAGCTGGTGATGCAAGGAGAAGGGAGAAGTGGTTGAGGAAACATCTTGAATATGTGAGGGGAATGGAATTTAGTGCAAAGAAGGGGGCTGCCTTTAACAAGACCAAGAATAGTTCATGCAGAAAGAAGGTAGAAAATATGATATATCACAGCCATTTGAATTTTTCCTTTTGTGTTGTATACTATATATAATGCTGTATATAAATTATAAATAGATATACACAATGAAAGTTGCTCAAAAGTTTTAACTGATATGGGCACATGCTCAAAACAATTAAAGACCACTTTATTGGAAGAAAATAAAACATACCATCAAGCTCTAGCCCACACAGCCTCTGGTGACAAGAAGGTGTATACCATGGCATATTTAATATAGTCTATATTATTACCTTAAGTATTCAATAAAAGATCTAGGAAAGGAGAAAGAATACCATTCTTAATATCCGAGGATATTAACTAAGATTTTTTTAAAAGGCTCAGACACTATAATTCAGAACTTAAAATATAGCTGCATTTGCACCAAGAATGCAAAAACTATAATAAGAATCACAGACCATTCTCAAAATCAGAGCATCCCAGGAACCAAAGTCTTATTACATTTTTACATAGAGAAATGTAAATCAGTTACAAGGTTTTATTAGCAAGACAGGCCTGAGTTGTTCCATCGGATTCTGCTACAGAGGCAGTATGGCCACCCAATACCCAAACGTACTGCTCAGCAAAGAATGGCAAATCAGGAACGTAGGCCTGTCGTCCGAAAGGCTGACAGGTAGCCTAATTAGAACAGGCAGAAGCCCCAAACCCACCTGAAGTCCACAAAGTCACAGAAAACATCCAACTTGCTCAAATATACTAGCACCACCTGGCAGCTGCCAAGCCCTGTAACGATTCACACAGCTCCTTTTAAACATTTTCAGTTAGCGTCTCTCCAGTCCATCAGTTCAGTAAGCTCTCCATTTTTTTTTTAACTTTCAGAGCTATGCACACTCAAGCCCAAGGGTGTTAAATGAATACATGCAAAGGCAAACTAGCGCCACCGCCAGAATGCAGGTCACATGGCTCCGAAACACAGAAGCCCCGAGACTGGCTTCCTGAATGGTTCTAGAGGGCACCTCTATCAACCACGTACAATGACAGCAGGAGCACATGAACACCGAGCCCTAAAGCGTGGCAGGTCTGCCTGCACAGAAGTGACGGTCACGGTCCCGGAGCTCAGCTGGTGTGAACACAAGGGAACAGTAACAGCAAGCAGCTCTCCCGTGGGGGGACCGCAAGCTCCAGGAGGGTAGGGCCCTGCCTGTCTTTTGACAGGTGCAGGCCTGGTGTCCAGTGTGGTGCCCGGCACAGGCAGGCTCTCAAGAAATATTTACTGAAGGAAGGAAAACGTGACTGCTTACAATAAGCCGTAAAGGCCAGGAGGACAATGAAATATGCTCAAAATCATAAAAAATGGTTCAAGAAAACTCAGGAAAGCTGCTGACGGCAGCCGATCGGATATAGAAGCGGGCAGCTAAGTAAATCTAAAAAGTAGAATTGCCAAAACATAAGTTCTTTTAATGACCACGATCTTTATGAACAGAGACTTTGCGATGTATCGTCAACTAAATGAAACGCGTGGATCTTGTTCGGAGCCTGACTCAAACCAAGCAACCGCTAAAAGAAAAAAAAATGGAGACAATCAGGGAAATTTAAACACCGTCTGGATGACAGGTGACGTTCAGGAATGGCTGTGCCTTGTCAAGGTGCGATAATACTACCGGGGTTATGGTTTTAAAAGGTATTACCTTTTAGAGACACGTAATAAAGGATTTACGGATGAAATGATGCCGAATCTGGGATTTGCTGTTAAATAATAATCCAAGAAGGGAGTAAGGAAAAGGTGGGTGGAGGTATGAGCGAAATGAGAAGGGCCATGCGTTCGTTGGCATGTTAAAGAACTGGGTGATGATAGGAACGCTGAGGTGTTATTAGTCTCCCTCTCTCTACCTTCATATACCTGTGAAAATTTCCATAGTCGAATTTTTTTTTTTTAAATCTCGAGTAACTGTAATGTGAAACCAGTGTTAATATCCTTGCATTTGCTTCAGCATAGCAAAATAACCGAACGGTATTCGCAGTCATACATCCTTTCTTCCTCCCTGCCACCAAGCTCATCTGCGACTCCCTTGCTGCATCTCTGCTGTCCCTCTGGGCCTGGAGATACCCCGAGTTTCCTCTCCCACTGGCTCCTACTCTCCCTCCTCCCAGTCTTCCCTTCCCTGCCTCTGGCTGGTTCTCCCTTCTTCCCCCAGCCCTCTGGGGCTCTGTCCCAGGATGCTGACTGCCTCCAACCCACCTCTCTGTACCAGGTCCCACTCCTCCTTTCTCACGGCCCTAACGCCAATGGATCCCATGGCTTTAACCCTTCTCTACCCTGTTCTCCTTAAAGGCAATCACATTACCAGTATATCCTAGTATGTCCATCTTCCCCCAGATATGTCACGCTTTGCTGTCATAAGCTCCTCTCTTCCTCCACTTACCTACTCACATCCCTCCCGCACATTTCCAGGACAAGACCAAATAAGGATGGTTCAGCCAATGGAATATCTGCACACAACTATCGTGTGCCAAGCTCTGTACCCAGCACTGGGTGGGGTAACAGCAAAGAACAAGAGAGAGATACGCCTTTTTGAAGCATATGATCTAGCGCAGATGGAATTAAAATTGGTTCAACTGTCCGTGAACCTTCCAGACAGGACTGAATCCTTTATTTACCTCTGTAGCCTCAGAGCTTCATGGAGAACCCAACACGTAACAGATCCTTCACAAATATCTGGTAAAGGAAATGAATGTTCCTCCAAGATGGCACCTGTCTCAACATTAGTTTAAGTCCATGAAGTATGGAGTCGCCCTAAACTCCACAAATGAAAAGGTACTTGGAGAGGGCTTTTGATGAGGATCTTTTTTCGGATGGGAACAGCCTCCTGGGAAGATGTGTGTAGGGAGGGAGGTATGCAGGCAGGCTCCGAGAGCCGGGCTTACCGTTGCCGGCTAAAAGCAGCGCTGGGTGTGCTCGGCTTCTGTCTTCTTTGCTATTCTGGATCGTCTGCTCCCTCCTCCCACTGCCAGCCTCCTCCCTTCCAGCTGCAACGGGAATAAACCTCAGTCACCCCTGTTCCCCAGGCTACTCGGAGCACGCGGTTTCCTCTTGCCACTGACACGTCTCACTTCCTATCTCAGCCCTGAGCAGAAGTGCCCCAACTGCCGGGCTGTTGCTGCTCTGCTGTCACCCTGTTCCTAACCAGGAGCTTCGCCAAGACTCCAGCTTGAGGACCAGGTCAAAAAGGTGGACACCTCGACACAGGAGGATTGCACAAAGGGTGGCTGCAAGAACGCCGGATGCTGGTTCCAGCCCCCAAGCTGGCACAGGCACAGACCCCACAAAATCCGAGCCCAGAGCCTTGCTCCCGCACGCTGGATGAGTGCCAGCTTCAGGCAGACACGCCAGGCTGGGCTGCAGGCTCTGCCTGCGGTGGCACCTCCAGGGCCTTGGCACTCAGGGGGGCAGTGAGGTCGGAAGTGACAAAGTAGAGGTATCACGGGCAACATGCCGCAGGACTTGGCAGAATCGATGAGCCTCCCTTTTTCCTGACGTGAGACTGGGTTTAGGTCACTCTAATCTCCCCCGCACAGGCTGGGAAATCAGAATGAGAGAGAAGGTGGCTTGTCAGATCGAGGCCATCACCCGGCCCTGCTGAGGAACTCAGGCCTCCATGCTCCAGGGAAAGCACTAGAAACGGAAGGGTTTTCCCAGATACGGAACTACCACTTTGAAGCTGACTCCAACAATCTCCTGTCTCAACTACCAGATCATCTTCTTGTGGGATCACAAAGGCAGGCCCTATGCAGAATCTTCAAGAACTCTGGAAATCTGAATCACCCAGAGTAAGCATCCCTAGTAGAGATCTAAGCACTTCTCTGGTAGTCTACAGCAGGGGTTGGCAAACTTTTCTTTTATCTTAAAGAGCAAGATACTACATATTTTAGGCTTATGGGACATATGGCCTTTGCTACGACTACTCAGCTATGCCACTGTAGCATGAAACCAGCCATAGACAATACATAAACATGAACGTGTCTGTGTTCCAATAAAACTTTATTTACAAAAACGGGCATCTGGCCCATGCGTCATAGTTTGCCAATCCCAGGCCTTTGGGAAAAACTGCTCATCCAGGATTTCTATGCTCAAAAGAGCAACAAGGGCCACCATCCACCTGGAGGGCTCCCATCCACTCTGGAGACAGGGGCCTACTACTCTGGGGAACAGGCCACCAACCACCCCTGCTGGTCTCTCCCACAAGGCACTAAAGAAATGTAGCCTACTTATTCCAAAAGCCTGGTCTGCATCACAAACCTAGACAAAGGTGGAAAAAGTTTCAGACGTCAAATCTAAGGGCTTTGGAGCTGGAAAAAATTAGATTCCTTAGACTAGACAGTAAGGCCTGGAAAAGGAAGTGACACATCCAAGATCTTCCAGCTGACAAATGTCTTCTGACTCTCTGGCCAGTGAGGGTATGGGTAGAAAGGAAGCATATAAACAGCATGCTGGTGGGGGCCAAGGAGCGTGGCACTTCCTGGGGCTGGGAGTGAACGGTACATAGGACAGGGCCAGGGGAGAGCTTGGGGTGGGAGGAGGTGGGGAGGGAGAAGAGAGGGAGAGGAAGGAGGGGAGAGGGAGAATTTTTCTTCCAGCTGTACCTGGACATAGTTACTAGGGAGAAGAAAACTTAAACAAAAATCTGAACTTCAAAAAGAGATGTGGTTTGGTAGAATATGCGAGTGTTTATTGGCAGAAACTGGACCAGGGTTTGGGCGGGACCTGGGATAATAAACCAGCACAAGGCACCCAGCCTCACCCAACTGCAGGTCAACGGCCCAGGCTCTGGGATCTCTCTCTCTCTATACCTTCTCACTAACTGTGTACTGCACCTTCAAGCTTCATAATCCAGTATCTCCCAAATCTCTCCCCCAAACTCATGATTTCCATTGCAAACTTCATTTGACTGACTTTAAACATATCTATCCAGGTGCAACATTTCTAAAAGAAAATCAAACATGACTCTCCCAGACAAGTCTGAACCCTAATGTTTCTATTTCTGTCAATCACTAAGGCTCAAAATTTCAGCACCTTCTCTTCCCCACATCCTGCCCCCAAGCCAAAGTGGCTCTCCGAATCTGTCTCTTCCTCTCCAATCCCACAGGCTCCACCCTAAACCATCACCTCCAATGCGGCATATTGCCAGACTCCTGCCAGGGGCCCCAGATTCCAGGCTTGCACCAATGCCAGCTCTTCCCCCATATACTCATCCTCCTCCCACCCACCGTAATCTCTTCAAGGTCAAGGCCCAGTGCTGCTGACCTCTGGCTTCCCAGCTTCCAGAACATCATCTAATACAGGGGAGGGGAGGGTTCACAATAAACGCTAACGGACGAATCCTAGTTCTCATCACGAGAGATGACCACACAAGAAACCCAGGCCATTGCTGGCTCCCACTGCCTGGAGCCCAGACCGCCAGGCTCGGGGGGGCCCGACGTCAACTCACTGCCCCTTCCCACCCAGCTCCCGCCACCCCAGAAACGGACTCTTGGCTCCAGCTAGCTCATCAATGCCCAACCCTCCTCTTATGCCAGTCATTCCTGCATCCACATCTCTGCCCACGCTCTGCTCACCCTGCCCTGCGATGACGTCCATGCCCTTCCCCCTCCAGCTACTCCAACTCCTACGCAACTGCCAATTACCGAGCTGGGGGGGGGGGAGGATAGGGGATGCAGGAAGAAGGGTGATAATAAAAAGTATTTGAGAAAGGGGGGCTACGATGAGGATACGCTGGGGTCTCTCCCTGACCCCCGGAGGCATCACCCTCCCAACGGGTCGCCAGCGATTAGAGAAGGAAGAGGCGGGAGCCAGATTTTTCCACTGAACGAAAGGCATGATTTTCATCACTGCTTCTGTTGCCCTGGTAACCAGGGACAGCCCAGTGGAGAGTACAGTAAAAGAACACCATGTTTATCTTTGCTGTCTGATCTACTTCCCTGTACACCCTTCCCTGACCATCCCCTATCCCCTAGGCCCGTTCCAAATCTCTCGCACCACCACCACCATTCTTCTAGTCGCTCTTGCTCAAAACCTCAGACACAGAGGTGATTTCTCCCTCTCTTTAGCCAAACCCGAAGTACCGTTCTTCCACTGCAACGTTCTGGGGGTCATCTCACCACACCCACCTGCCAGGCCAGAGGGCCCCCAAGAACAAAGAGCTGGCCTCAAAGCCCAAGAAGGGCATCCGTTCCACGCAACAGGGCAAGCGGGACTAGGAGAGCAGGAAGGTGATGAAGGCTGCACGGCCAACCCCTCTTTCTCACCCCCGGACAGCCGGGGTGGAGCGGGCCCCTGTTCTCCCAGCTCCTCTCCTCTGCCTGGGATCAGGAGAAGGAGCCAGGCTGGGGATGGGGGAGTGGGTCCACCCACAAGCTTCCACAGATCCTACCTCCTACACGGACACGGTGTCTGCGTGACCCGAGAGTGGAGACACAGTGCTCTCCCTGGGAGATTATATAAGCGTTACATAACATGGTAGCACCAATAAGCACACGGGAGCAGTTGTTGAGTGCCAGGGACAGGCCAAACCCAAGGGGCTGGAGGTACAGCCCTCTTGCCACCCATGCCAAAGCAGCCCCGGCCCTGTCTATACCTGCTCCTTCCACCCCAGAGGACACGGAGAGAGACTTGCCTGGCTCTGCATTCTTCTTCCCAAGCTGGGCAGCAGGGAGGGGCCGCAGCACCATGGCCACCCTGGCCCGCAGCAGCCTCCGTCCAACGGGCCTGAGACAGCCTGGCTGCCCTCCCCACAAGGGGGTGCTGGGGGTCGGGGCAGGGGAGGGGTGTGGGCCAGCAGCCCCCTCCTCTCTGTCCTCCTACCAGACTGTGCTTGTTTGGGGAACAAGTGCTGCAGCAGCTCCAGGATTGGCTGGGCCAGCCGTCCCTCTGCTCTGTCATTTGCTGTTCCTCTAAGAAACAAAACAAACCGAAAGGGAAAGAAAAAAAAAATAATAAGCACATTTGGCAAGTGCCAAATCCCAAATGTTGGTCTATGGCTGCAAACAAAGCCTGAAGAAGGGGTTCCTAAGGAAATTATTTCCCTGTGGCCCCCATCTCCCACCACATCCTGGCCAACCCACCAACTACGCACTTAGTCTGCAAGCCTGAAGATTGCCCCCCAGTCCTGGGTTACCCCACCCCGGACCCCCGCAGTCCCTACCTCAGCAGCAGGCTCAGTTGGAAGCCCTGGGTCCCCCAACCCCCATCTCCCCCAGCCCCTGTCTGCAGCTGCCTCAGTGGGAGCCTCTTCCCGGGCGTTCCCCCTCCCCCCTCTGCAGCGTTCTCAGAGTCTGCGCCCCCCTCCCGCATATGCACGCGGGACCAGGTGGCAGGCCTGCCTGCGGGGCAGCTCTGGGCCAGGTCTTCACCAAACTGCTCCAGCATCATCACCACACCCACTCTATTAATTTGGGGGAGGTGGGGGCCTGAACGGAGACAGAGCCCAGTGGGATCTCCGGCAGCACCTGCCCTCTCCCGAGCTATGACTCTGGCCTTCCTGCCTCCTCCTCCGCGCGCACCTCCGCGCCCCCTGAAGAAGGGGGGAGAAAGAAATGCGCGTTAATATCACGAGCCCCGGCGCACCAGCCCTCGCCCCCTCAACCACCTGTCTCTGAGCTCTCCCTCCCCCACAGCCTGCCTCAACTCCAGGCGCCCCCTCTGCAGCACAGGGCACCACGCCCACTGCGGAGCGCGGAGACGCGCGGCGCGCAGGGACGGGGGCTCACGTGCGGGGCGCGGGGGCCGCCCCTCCACCTCCGCGCCCGGCCGGCCGGCCCCAGAGCCCGGGGCCCGCCCGGGGCCGCTCCAGGCCGCGATCCGCTCCCACGCCCGCGCTGAGGGCAGCCGTGCCCGGAGGCCGCGCTGCGTGCGGCGAGGGTGGGGCGCGGCCGGGACCCCCGGCATCGTCCCCGGGGAGCCCGCCCAGCCCCGGGACGCCCCGGGACCGCCCTGCAGGCCGGGCCCACGGCGCCCACTCCCACCCGGCCAGGGCCCGGCTCTCACCTCGGCGGCCGCCTCCCTCCCGGAGACGCTGCGCGGCGCGGCCCGTCGCCCCCCAGGCGACCCGCGGCCGGCGCGAGATGCGCAGCCGCTGCGGACGGCGGCTCCGCGGCGGCCGCTTCCCGGCGTGTGAGCTCAGCCCGCCCGCGCGCCCGCGCTTCCCACGCTCGGCGCCCCGCGCGGCGCCACCCAGCGGCCGCGTCCCGCACCGCACGCTCGCGTCCGGGAAAATCTGCCGCAGCCCGGCCGACCGGTTCGGAAATTCCCAGAATTGGACCGTGGGTCTGCGGCGGGGCGGGGCGGAGGACAGGACGGGCAGTGTGACGGTCCCCAGCCTTGAGGCAGAACAGCTCCCACTCACCTGTCTCTGAAGGAGACTGCAGAGTCTTGGCACCATACATTATCGGCTTCCCCCTTTCCTCTGACCTTGCCTCCCCGTGTTTCTCTCCGGGCAGTGGAGACGCCTCCTGTTAATGGGGGTGGGGATTCGGGGGTGCGCAAGGAGCGGGAAGCTCTTGGGGCCGGCGCTGCAAGGCCTCCATGGGCCTATCTAGAGATCGGAGGGGTGCACCCGAGTGACTTCCCCAGCTTGTTTTTAAAAAGACACAGATGCCCCAGCCTACCTGCAAAATCTAATTTGGGAGATTTGGAGTACTGCTTTTGACCTTTTCTAGCACAGGCCCTCTCTTCGCAAAAATGCGCATGCATACAGAAACGCAGTTTTGCACAGTATTTCAGGCAATTCAATTCTGAAACTTCCCGAACTCCATGGAACCCAACTTAAGAACTCGCTCTATGCAGGTACCCTAGGGCAGAAGGAGACGAGCTGGTGATTACCTGAACCCGCTGCCATCTCTCTCATGCTGTTTCCTCCTTCACGAATATCTCCACCAGACCCCACTCCCACACTTCCGCCTCCATAAGTCCCACCTCCCCTTGAAGGCCAGCTCCAAAACCTCTTCCTTCCCGATTTTGTCATCTATGACCTTGGTTTTCTGGGACCATGTTTTTTTTAATTTTTTTATGCCTTCTATGGCTATTAACATGATATACACACACCTGTAGTCACTCCTGTGGTTGGTTGTTTCATTTCCTTCTAGGCTATTAACTCTTTTAAGATCAGTTTCTTCCTCTGCAGCTACTAAAGTGCCTTACATTGTATTCCCTTGACAAATAGTCCTTAAATAATCAAAGAAGTTTGGTTGAGGGGAACAGGAAGCCCAGGGAAGGCCAAGGAGATAAATGCCTTTGCTCCGGAGAAACCTGCACTCCTCTCCTTCCCCCTTGCTCTGACAGCAGCATGTATATATATATAACATGCACACCTCGATGCCTGGAACACAGAATCCTCAAGGTGGCAGGATCTTCTCATGCATTCCACCTCCTCTGGGCAAGGCAGCCGTAATTTAGGGGTTCCTGCATGAAGTTGGGATACAAAATCATTCAGCATGCACCTGCCAAATTGCAAATATTCTACCATTAGTATACCGTAGTCCGGTGACGGACATTCCTACCCCTAGGTGCACATGCTAGAAGCAACCTTGACTTGTCCAGCTTACTTCCCTCCTTCCTTGCACATACCCCAGTCAATCACCACATCCTGATTCTACTTCCTACATCTCAAAGACCTTCTCTCCATTCCCAACTCAAACCAACCATTATTTCTTGCCTGGGTTTCTGCATTTGTTTCCAGCTAACTAGCCTACCTGCCTTCAGTCTTACTAGGCTTACTTAGATCCAGTCTTCCCATCTGCTAGGGACTGAATGTCTATGTCTCCCTAAAATTCATATGTTGAAATTCTGAGCCCCAGTGTGATGGTATTAGGAAGTGGGGCCCTCTTGAATGGGATTAGTGCCTCTATTTTTGAACTCCTGACCTAGAGCAATCTGCCCACCTCGGCCTCCCAGAGTGCTAGGATTACAGGCGTGAGCCACCACGCCCGGCCTAATTTCTTTCTATTTATAGTAGAGACGGGGTCTTGCTCTTGATCAGGTTGGTTTCGAACTCCCGGATTAGTGCCTCTATAAGAGGCACAGAGCGATACCCTCTCACCCCGCTCTCTACTCTCCACCGTGTGAGCATACAATAAGAAGATGGCCAACTGCACCAGACACAGAACTGCTGACACCTTGATCTTGGACTTCCCAGCTGCCACAACTGTGAGAAATAGATTTCTGTTGTTTAAGCCACTCAGTCTATGGGCATTCTGGTATAGCAGCTTGAACTAAGACAGTGTCCCGACCAGAAAGATCTTCCAAAAATATCAATCACTTCCCAACTTAAAACCCTTTAGGTAGCCTCACGTGGTACTAAGGATAAGGCTCCAACGCCACCTGGCTCACCAGGCCTCTGAGATCTGGCCTCAACGGACTCTCCAGCCTCCTCTCTTAGCATTTTCCCTTACCTATATGCTTCCTTTATACTAATCACCAGGCCTCTTCCTACCTTAAAGGTGACCTTGAGGTGAGAACACTCCTCCTCTGCTTTTTATGCTCTACTCATCCTTTGGGTTTCCCTGCCGTCTCCTCCTCCCTCAGCTGGTCCTCCCTCTGCTGTAATATGAGAAACACAGTGTTGTTCTTCACTTATGTGATGTCTGCTTTCCTTTCCGCACTAGGGCCTCTGCAATGCAATGGTACCCTCAATGCCTGGCACAGTAGCTGGTGCCAGAGAGGAGCACACAAATATTTATTAAATGAATGAGAGCGCTGAACATGACACACACCCGACAAGAGAAACACTGGGGCCAATGCAGTGGTGCTATGTGATCTCACTGTTTTCAAGCGAATGTCACTCTTTCTGAGTCTTCAATTTCCCCAACTGAAAAATGGGGATAATAACACTCAGGGTTACTCTGAAGGTACCCAGAGATATATGTGGAAGTACTTTATAATTTTAAAGTTCTGTGTGTGTGTGTGTGTGTGTGTGTAAGAACTTTCACATGACTTCACTTGATCCTCACGATAACATTTTGAGTAGGCAGCTGACATTTCCCAATTTGCCTGTGCGGAAACTGAAGGTGGACAAGGTCAAGCAGTCTGCCTAAGGTCACCTAGCTAGTTACCAGGGAACCGAGCTCGGTGCTGGGTTCCAAGCCCACGCTCTCTCCACCACATCCCTACTGCCCCTCCCTCCCATCCCCAAAGTAGGGAAGCATGTTGGGACACATACATGTTCACAGCCTGAGGATCATGCAATTCACAAATGTCACCATTTACCACTTCGAAAAAGGGGGGTTTTTTGGAGGGAGGGTGAGTTGTTGGTGGAAAATGGGCTTTTCTGGCAAGTAAGAGTACATTAGAAAAAAGAAAATGGACTAGATAGCAACAGTTATCAGGATAGGAAGGAATGGAGTGGGGAGCAATTGACTTTGGGTTTGACCCTAGGCTCCCCATCTCGGTCCCTTCCCCCACCCTAGTAAGGTTCCCTCAGTTGACAGCCTCCTTTTACCGTATAACAGACCCCTGCAAGCTTTGAGCTTCCTGGAAACTGAAAATCTATTTCCTCCATATTCCCAATTCTGTCTATCAGCAACTATTTACCGAGCTCTTACTAGTGCTTTGTCATGGCCCATAAAGCCTGGCCGCAGTTTCCCCATTCTGCAAAATGGGATTGATAATAGCCCTTCACATGGCTGTTGTAAGGATTAAAGAAGATAACCTGACAGTTGTCGGGGAGCTCTTGCTAGTGGATGCACCTGCCCCAACTCCCTGCTCTGTGTCAATTTTTCATTTGAGGGCATGGGACTGTTTGTCTAGGAGCTAGGGCAGAACAGAGCAGAGCAGAGGAGCTAGAAAAGCAAGGAAGGGAGCGTGAAGGGGACAGTAACCCTCATTGTGCATTTCTGGGGGACATGGAGACAGCTCTGGGGCTCAGAGCTTTGTTGGAACTCTTCAAGAATGACTTGTGAGTTTCTGGGCCCAGGCAGAGCCCTTTGAGTTTGCAAAGACGAGGTCAGGCGTGGCGATGAGAGGCTTCCCCAAGCTCTTCGTGGGCAGGGAGCAAGAGCCGCTGAGAGCCACAGGAGAGGAAGAGCAAGCAGCACAGCCATCTTTTGGTGACCGCTGCTTTGAGGGCTCAGATGAGGCTCCTTTTGGGGAACTCCCAGAAATAACTCAAGGACACTCTGAGAATGTGGATGAAATCATCAGACAATTCATCACGAACATAAAGAATGGAGGTGGTGCCAGGCACGTAGTACGAACTCGATATGTGTCAGTTCCCTAAGATGTGCACACGTGGGCACCAGGCGCTGAGTCCCTGTGCTCCTGCGTCTTCTGCTAACGCTGCCTTTGCACCAAGCAAGTTTGTTTCTGTGTCCTGTGCCCCAGGGGACGCGCAGTGGAACTGCCCTTCACAAATCCCTGAGTGTGGTTATGGTGGTTTTCTCTTTAAAGATTAAGTCTTTTCTCCCCCACCCTTTCTGCTCAACAAAGACAACAGCCCTTTGGTGTTTGATAAACTGTTCCTTTCCTACTAGCAGGTGGATTTGCCCCGGGCACCAAGAGCTGTGCTTTTAAAACACACACAAGCCCAGCTGTTTGAATCTGCCACTTCGGTCTGTCTTACTTCTCTTATCTCCTGCCCCCGGGGCTGGGTTTTCTCTGCCTTGGCAGGCTGATAACATGTGGAAGGAAGAAAACAGTTCTAATTAATAGACTAATTAGTGGTACAAGCCTTTAATAGCTGATTATAGGAAAGTCACCCCCCACCCCCCAAGTGATTGATTTCTTTATTGATGTTGTGCTGCATTATAGCAAAATAGTCAGCTCCTAATTATCTATTGGCTGGTTTCAATTAGGTCTCTTCCTTCTCTTCCTTCTCCTCCTTCCCCTTGGTGGGCACAGGGAGAATGGGAGAACTCAAACCAGCTGATGAGCAGCTCTGCACAGATGTAGAATTGTTCCTCCCTAGGACTGTTGTGAAGATTAAATGAAATAGCCATGGAAAGCACTTAGCACAGTACCTAGCACATAATAAGCCCTCAGGAACATTAGTTATGATAATTACGACTGTCTGAAATTATTTACCGTATGTGATACAGAGAAAGAAGTTGATAAATGCTTGTAGAATACATGAATGACTGTATCA